AGGAAAAATGTCTTCACTGAAAGGGTTGTCAGGCGCTAGAATGAGCTGCCCAGGGAGGTGGTTGTGTCCCCATCCCTGGAGGGATTTAAAAGTTGGGGTGCTCAGGGTTTAGTAGTGGATATGTACAGTTGGACTCGATGATCTCAAAGGTCTTTTCCAACCAAACAATTCTATGATCCTTCAAGGGGTGCATGTCCATCTTGCTCCATTTGCCTTCTGTGGGCAGAGCTGTCTCTGGTTGGCAGTGGGTGTGTGTCGGTGGAGCTCAGCTGCCGCGGAGTGGTGCAGCTCCCAACTGTGATGTCCAGGGACCCTCACAGCTTTTCATCATTCCCATGCTGTGGTGATGGTGCAGTCCCTAAGCACAGACTGTCCCAGCCTCCCATGGAGCTAGCTCTTCTAGACCATTAGTGGTCTGTGAGTGAACTAACCCAAGGTCCATTAACCCACCAATAGACTTAAAACTCAACTAGATGCAAAGTGCTTTCAAATTCACTGGGGAAAAAACAAAACAAACAAGCAAACCCCAGCTGAACAAAAACCAGGAGGAAATATTTTTGCTTGCTTTTTTGTATTAAGATCAACACTGCTGCTGTTAAGATTGCAGCGCTTTTATACCAAGTGAAGGGTTTACAGTTCAGGAGATGTGGCTGTATCCTTGTAAAATCCTAGTGTTAATGACCAGTGGTCCATTCCACTGCAAAGCAGCCTGAGCCCTGTGAGCCATGCAGAGCCCCAGAAGTTTACTGATCCTTATCAGGTGTAGCTAACAAAAACACCAGGAAGGCATCCCCCCCAAAATTAAATGGAGCCTGGCAAGGAGAGCAGGGCACAAGAAAACAAATATATATGTCGGGGGGGTGGGTATCAGTATACTTGCAACCTTGAGCTGTGAAGCTGCCTACTAAGTGAACAGCTCATGCAATTTAACTCCCCTCTTCCTGTGTTGCAGCACCCTTAATTTTGGGGTTCTTTGATCCACCTATTCATAGCTGTGAAGCGAGCAGAATTTAATCAGTCTCTGACAGGGGATGGCTGATTTTAATACCAACCTCCAAAAAAGAGCTGTCAATCAAGGATGAGCTTTAATACCTTCAACTTGCAGCTCCTTTAAACTTCTGCTGCAGTTGAGTGGTGCTTGGTCAGCTGTGGAGGAGCTGGGCACCTACAAAAGGCACTTGGGGGCTCCTTGGACATGCTTGAGAGGGTCCCTGGGAGCTAGTCCCTCCCGTCTGTGAAGGGGGGGCACAAAACCTCTAATCAAGTTGGCATTTCTTAGCCACATGAGGGGAGAGATTTCCTCTTTGACTAAGGAGCGGCTTTCGTAAGTACGTATCCCAAAAGCCCTGCTGAGCTTTTGTGAGCCAGCAGGCAAGGCAGGTTTGGAATCACTTGGATTAAAGCTTTCCTTATTGTAGCTGGAACAGGAACAGTGAGGACAAAGGTTACTTTCCATCCCTACTTTCGAGTTATTTTAGGTGGGCATGTTAGATAAAATAGTCAATGACTGGCAGGATGATAGAATATGGTTTAATTTCAGATTTACTATCTGCCAACACATGCCATTCAATCAGATAAACACAGGATTTCAGCTGTCATCACAATATCTTATGCATACTTAAAAATAGAGCACTTTTTCTCACACCAAGAAGAAATTGAACAGGTTTATATATAGGATGTATACAGTCAGGAAGCTAGAAATTTTGAAGTAGTCTGCCGTTTCTAGAGAGATTCCCTATCTTTAAATTAAGGAATTATATTAGAAGTAGTAGAAATTGTCAGGATTGCAGAAGTTTTATCATTATCAACTGCACTGAATAAATAAAAGTAAAAGAGAACACCTTGGGAAGTTGAACTATATAAAATGAGGGAAATGTCTGTAGTATTTACAGCAGAGAATATGAGACTATATAGAGAGCAAGACGACTCAGAACTTCTCTGTGTGGGAGTATTAGTCCTCCTCTGGTTTTTAAGTTTCCATCTTTGCTCTTTTGTCTGTCCTGGTTCATGTGTTGGGGCTATCACTGTAACGCATGAATTATCTGCTTTGCTTGGGAGGTGGAGATAGATCTAGCATCACCCCAGCACTATCCTAAACTAATTGTCACAATAAATGTAATTTAAGCATTCACTGTCCAAAGCTTCCCTCTTACACACCTTACTTAGGTGGAAACTCTCATATAGGTAAATGCGGCACCTTTTTCAGTGCTTTACGTTATACACTTGTGAGTACACCGATGAGTATGGCTTTTTGGCTTGAGCACTTAACCAGTGTTTGGGTTTTTTATTATCTCCTTTGTGAAGAGTAGCTGATGCCACAGTCCAGCATATTTTTAAGGTCTAGCCTAGTTTGTTTACAAGGAATGCACAGAACAGCTTGTTTCTGTGAGCATCATATAAGCAGACAGCAATGGGCAGTTTTCTTGCTCACAGATCTGCTGATCTGCTTCCCCAGGAAGCAGTGTCCGCCCAGGCTCTGCCTCGCTGCTTTCTCTCCTGCTCACAAGCTTCTTTCTTCAACGCCCACATAACCCGTACCTTCAGTCTCATATTTCCTACCTAGTTTGCTCTTTCAAGTTTTGTAGTCAACTTTGGTTCAGAGATGTCCTTGTCAGCCACTACTAGCATTTTCCAGCACAACTGATTTACTGCCTGCTCTCGTTCCCTTCTGTATTCTACCAGGCTGCTTCCAAAGAGCTCTAAAATGACATCCTCAGCTGCTCAGCATAATGGTATCTTTGAAGCCAACACTTGCACTTTGCTTCATAGAGCAGCTCTAGCAAAAGGACAGCATTTTCTACTGAAGATAAGGGAAAGAAGGGGGGTTTTTTTGAGCATTCCTCCCGCCGGTTTCCCTGCAGGGAGGAGGCTGGTGCCTTTTCTAGCATGTGCAAAGGCACTCTTGAGGAGCTCTGCTACGACAGATCGGCTTATTGCCCGTGGAGACATGAGGACAGCATAATGTCAGCCAAGATGCTGAATTTCCTATTGCTTGGGCTTCATCCCTTTCTGGTTAAGCTCTCATGCACTTCAGAGAAAAACTTGATTATTGGGTGGCGGGTCATTCAGCTCAGCCGTGGGAGGGTCTTTTTGACTTCCACAGCTCCCTCCTGGAGCTGGGTTTTGGCTGCAGAGGCAACTTATGCTGAGCTATGCAAACAGAAAAAACATAGAAAAAGAAAGGCTGGAGTGAAGTCCAGTGTGGGTGTTTTTTAATCTTAATCTTTTTAATCTTTGGAATTCTGTTTGGTTTTTATTTTGTTTGGCTTTTTTTCTCATCTCTTTTAGAAAAGCCTTTCGCTTACAGTGATCTCCCAAACAATTCATTTGAAAGCATTGGTGGGTGGTGCATACATTATAGGCTGTGGTTTCATCGATACGTTCAGCCTTGCTAAGTAGATGGCATATTAAATGTTTTATTTACCCCATGTGCTACCTGTCATCTAATCAGCTTTTGTTTTTGCTGCATTCTGCTTGTATTACAGCAAGAGTAAGTGGTTTCATGTAAATTAAGACCGCATGAAACCTTTTAAAGCCATTTAAAAATACTATGTGGTTTTGCAAATAGGTTTGTCAGACAAGGATTGGAAAAAGAGCTCTTTGCTTACCCATTTACTCTTCTGTATGCTTATTAGAAGCCCCCCGTGTGACTCTTTCATCAAACATTGCATCCCAGTACTCATCTAGAGTGCC